ATCACTTAAACCTGGGAGGTAGAGGTTGCAGTGAGCTGAGATCATGCCACTGCCCTCCAGCCTGGGCAATAAGAAAGAGACTCCATCTAAAAAAAAACAAAAAAAGAAAGTAAAGAAAGAAGAAGAAGAGGAAGAGGAAAATGTAGTAAAATATTTAAAGTGTTAAGAGGAAAAAAACCCCATAACCTAGAATTGTATGCCCTAAGAAATTGCCATTCAAAAGTGAAAGAGAAATAAAGACTTTCTCAGACAAACAAAAAATGAAAGAATTTGTTGCCAACAGACCTGCCTTGCAAGAAATGTTAAAAGAAGTTCTTTAGGGAGCAGGAGAATGATATAGGTCAGAAACTCAGACCTATGTAAATAAAGGAAGAACATCAGAGAATAAATAAGTGAAGGTAAAATAAAACTTATTTTTTGTATTCTTAGCAATCAGAGAGATAATAGTTTTTACAAAATAACAGCAGCAATTCAATAGTGAACTGAATGACAGCAATGATACAGGGGACATGAGGGAGGAATTAGGCATATTTTGTTATTATAAGGTATTTGCACTACCTGTGAAACGTAGTATAGTGTTATTTGAAAGTAGAGTTAGATTTGTAAATGTACATTGCAACCATCAGGGCAACCACTAAAAAAGGGAAAAAATAAAAATTTTAAAAACAGATATAATTGATATGCGAAGAATGGAAAGAAAATGGAAATATATAAAATGCTCAGTTAAAACTATAAAAGACATAAAAAACATGGAAGACAAAAATAGTAACAGAAAACAGGGTAACAAATAGAAAGCAATAACAATTATAGTGATTATCCAGTTATATCAATGACTACTTTAAACATCAATAGTCTAGATACACTAATTAAAAGACAGGTATTATCAGAGTGTTAAAAAACAAGACCCAACTATATGTTGTATATAAGAAACCCACTGTAAGTATAAAGACACTTATAGATAAAAAGTAAAGGGATGGAGAAAGATATACCATGCTAACACTAATCAAAATAAAGTGGGAATAGCTATCCTAGTTTTAGACAAAGCAGACTTCAGATAAGGAAAAGTTATCAGGGATAAAGACGAGCATCATGTAATGGTAAAGTGGTCAATATTCTAAGAAGACATAACCATCTTTAATGTATATGTGCCTAACAACAGGATACCAAAATGCATGAGGAAAAACTGATAGAACTGCAAGGAGAAATAGATGAATCCACTGTTGTCATTGGAGATTTAAACACCCCTCTATCAGAAATGGACAGATCTGGCAGGCAGATCAGCAAGCACATAGTTGAACTTGACAGCACCATTAGTTAACTAGATATAGTTAACATATTTAGACTATTTTATCTGATTACACATTCTTCCCAGGCTCACATGGAACATTTATTAAGACTGACCACATCCTGGGCCATAAAGCACAAATTAGCAAATTTTAAAGAATATAAATATGACATCTCTCTCAGACCACAGTGGAATTAAGGATGAAATCAATAAGAGAAAGATAGCTGGAAAATCCCAAAGTCCTTGGAGATTAAACAACACATTTTTTAAATAATTCGTGGGTCAAAAAAGATATCTCAAGATAATTTTAAAATATTTTTAGCCACATGAAAATGAAATTTTTTTTTCTTTTTTTTGAGTTGGAGTCTTACTCTGTCACCCAGGCTGGAGTGCAATGATGCAATCTCAGCTCACTACAACCTCTGCCTCCCAGGTTCAAGTAATTCTCCTGCCTCAGCCTCCCAAGTAGCTGGGATTACAAGTGTGTGCTGCCACACCCAGCTAATTTATTTTTGTATTTTTGGTAGAGATGAGGTTTCACCACATTGGCCTGGTCTCAAACTCCTGAACTCAGGTGATCTGCCCACCTCAGCCTCCCAAAGTGCTGGGATTACAGGCGTGAGTCACCACACCTGGAGAAAATACTTTTTAAAAGGTGCGCGAAGCAGTGCTTAGAGGCGAACTTACAGCATTGAATACATATATTAGAAAAAAAAAGAAAAATATAAAATCAACCATCTTAGCCTCCACCTTAGAAAACTCAAAAAAAGAAAAAAATAGCAAGTTAAATCTAAATTAAGCAGAAGAAAAGAAATACAATATTCATTGCCTAGCAGAAGGGATATATTTTGAGAAATATGTTGGTAGGTGAATAAGAAAATAAAATAAAAGGTCTATAGATTGTGAAGGACCAACTGAAACTGTCTTTGCAGATAACATGATTGTCTATGTAGAAAATCTTAAAGAATCAACAAAAAACTGGAACTAAGAAGCAATTGTAATAACAAACCTGCACTTTCTGCACATGTATCCCAGAACTTAAAGTACAATAAAAAATAACAATAATAAACAATTATAGCAGGATTGCAGGATACAAGGTTAATGTACAAAAGTTAACCACTTTCCTATGTACCAGCAATTAAATAGTGACATTTTAAATTAAAAACACATTGCCAGTTTGGTGCAGTGGCTCATGCCTGTATCTCCAGACTATGGAAGGCCAAGGTGGGAGGATCACTTAAACCCAGGAAGTCGAGGCTGCAGAGAGCCGTGATCGCACACTGCACTCCAGCCTGGGTGACAGAGTGAGACCCTGTCTAAAGAAAAAAAAGCCAAAAAGCACCACATTACCGTTTACATTAGCACCCCAAGAAAAAATGAAATTCTTAGATATAAATCTAACAAATTATGTACAAGAGCTATAGATCTAGATGAAGAAAACTATAAAACTCTGGTGAAATATATCAAAGAAGAACTAAATAAATGAAGAGATAGTCTATGTTCATGGATTGTGAAGATGCCAGTTTTTCCCATAGATTGAATACAACCCCAATAAAAGTCCCAGCAAGTTATCTTTATGGATATTAGCCCATTTGTGCCAAGTGTCTCATTGTTGGAATGCTAAGCTTGTGGGAATTATTAATATTCTGCTGCTCAAGGTCATTGCCAAGGTATGATTTTTCACACAGAAAAAAATTGCAACCTCTGGCACAAATGGGTTAACAAAGTCTGCAGTTGTTTATATGGAGAGATAAGAGACCCAGAATAACCAATTAAATATTGAAGAAGGAAAACAAAGTCAAAGGGTTGAACTTTTTGGACTTGAAGATATCTGTAAAGCTATAGCAATCAAGATAGTGTGGTATTGGTGAAAGAGCTGACAAATATCACTGGAATAGAATAGAGAGCCCAGGAATAGACCCACAAAATACAGTTAATTGATCTTTGACTAAGGAGAAAAGGCAATACAATGAAGCAAAGATAGTCTCTTTTACATAACTGCTGGAACAATTGGATATCCACATACAAAAACAATTATTTAGACACAGACCTTACACCCTTCACAAAAGTTAATCTAGGATAGACCATAGACCTAAACGTAAAACACAAAACCATAAGACTGCTAGAAATTATCCTAGGAGAAAACCAAAATGACACTGGGTATCCCAATGACTTCTTAGACCAAAGGCATGATGCATGAAAGAAATAATTGGTAAGCTGGGGTTCATTAAAATTTAAAACTTCAGTTCTGCAAAAGACAATGTCTAGAGAATACAATGAGTCACAGACTTGGGAAAATGTTTGCAATCCAGAATACAAACCAATAAATCCTAGCAAGGATGCGGAGCAACAGGAATACCCGTTATTACTGGTGGGAATGCAAAATGGTACAGCCATTTTGGAAGACAGTTGGGCAGCTCTTACAAAACTAAACATACTCTTTCTATACAACCCAGCAGTCAGGCTCTTTGGTATTTACCCAAATGAACCAGAAGCTAATATCCACACAAAAACCTATAAATGGATGGGTATAGCAGCTTTATTCATAGTTGCCAAAACTCAGAAGCAACCAAGATGTCCTTCAGTAGGTGAATAAACTGTGATACATCCAGACAAAGGAATAGTATTCAGTGCTAAAAATAAATTAGCTCACAAGCCATAAGAAGACATGGAGGAACCATAATTGCATGTTACTAAGAGAAAGAAGCCAATCTGAAAAGGCTACGTGCTATGATTCCAACTATGTGAATTCTGGAAAAGGCAAACTATGGAGACAGTAAAAGATCAGTGTTTGCAATCTTTAGGGAGGAGGAAGGTAGAGATGAGCAGAGCCCAGAGGACTTTGGGGCAGTGCAGCTATTCTGTATGATGCTATAATGGTGGGTATATGTCATTGTGCCTTTGTCAAAGCCCATAGAATGTACAACGCCAAGAGTAAATTATGACGACCTTGAGGTAAATTACGGACTTTGGGTGATAATGAGGTGTCAGTGGACTTTCATCAGTTGTCACAGATGGACCACTTTGGTGCAGAATCTTAACAGTGGGAGAAGTTGTGTGTGTGGAAGCCGGGGGTGTAGGGGAACTCTGTACTTCCTGCTTAACTTGGATGTGAACCTAAAAAATGCTTTGTCATTTTTTTTCAGCAGGGCACTCAATAATACATATGATATAAATCCCATTTATGCTAAAAAAAAAAAATCACAGAAGTGTGTGTGTGTGTGTGTGTGTGTGTGTGTGTGTGTGTGTGTGTGTGTGTGACTTTTATATATACCGAACTGGTAACGGTGTTGCTGCTGGTGTTGAGGGTGGGGGAGTGGGGAGTACCCTCTGCTGTACTCTATGTCTGTAACATTTCACCTTTGTCAGAGTTCCAGTTCGCTTATCAAAATATGGCAAAAAGGAGCTTGCTGGTAGGCATGTATCTCCAGACCCTCCTTTCAAGGAGACATTAGAAGGTAACATTGTCTGACAATTTAAAAATGCAAAGCTTGTAGCACTTTGTATCTCATTTATTCACTCCACAAGTATTTTTGAGTGCCTCTTCTGTTCCTGGCCTTCTGCCAGGCCTTGAAGTTGCCAGAGGGACCAAGAAACAGCCCCTGTGATCACCGTTGAGGGTGGCAGGGGAGAGCTGTGTTTTAAGTCTGTTTTCTCATAGGCTGAAAAAGTTCCGCACAGTTTGAAAAAGCTGACTGTGATTCCTTCTCCCCAGAGAGGCCGTGTGGAGACCCGCCTTCCTTCCCACACACCATCCTGCAGGGCCGCACCGGCTTGGAGATGGGGGATGAACTGCTGTACGTGTGCGCCCCAGGCCACATCATAGGCCACCAGGAGACCGCCTTCACCTTGCTATGTAACAGCTGCGGGGAGTGGTACGGCTTGGTGCAGGCCTGCGGGAAAGGTAAGCAGCCCAGGGATAGGCCACCTTCGCGTGCCCACACAGTGCTGGCAGAGGGCTCCGCTGCGGCTGGCTGCATGCAGTGGACTCTTCTCACCAAGGTGCCTTTGAAAAGAGGCTTTCAGACCTTTCTGCTGAGCTCTGGACCTGGCAACATCTCCCCTTGGGGATTCCTGTAGCATTTCAAATGCGCATCTCAGCTCTTCATCTTCCATGCTGAGAGAAAAGTGTTCCCAAGTTAAAATCCCCACTTCTTCTCTAAGTACAGAGTTGACCCTGGGTTAACGTCCTAGTTTATTTCCCTGGAAACCTGGTGGCGATGGAATATCCGCTGTGGTACAAAGCAGCATTGCTTCTGGTGAAAATGAGCCCCAGTTGGTAAGCTAAGCTGGGAGCACTATGATGAATACATGTCAGGAAGCCTGGCTCCGAGATGCCCTGAGGATGGTGATTCCTTTGTCTGGGCAAGACCTTTATAGGGACTCTGAGAAATATTCTTTGGGTTGTTGCAAGACATTCGGACTCTTGTGGGATATGAGGCTTCCAAGCACCATCGATCCACACCACACATGTGAGTTCTGATCCACCTGAGCAATCTTGGGAGGGAAGCAGGGCTGGTAAGGGGTGGAGCAAGGAGACCAACTTCAGGACAGCTGTATGGAACCGCTGCAAGGGCCGTTCCCACGGATGAGACTTGCTTGCTGCTTCCAGGCTGCCTCACTCTATGCCCTGGCCTGGAGCTTTCTGAATGCCAGGTGTGATCTGTGGAGTCTGAATAGTTAGTTGAGACTAAAAAGAGTCCTAGTGGACCCTGAGTTCCCCAAACCTGATCTGATTTCCCCAGATGTTCCCATTCCATCAACATCACATTTCTGGGAATCCTAGGTTACCGCAGCCTCCTTAACTCCTGCTGCCGAACCCCTTGGGAATTTTTCCAGCAGCAGAAATCCCTGTGTCCAGCCATAGCCAGGCCTGGCCTCCCCAGCCCAGCAGGAACACAGAAGCCAGCAGGCGACAGGGGCAGCCCCATGGCTAACCTGTCTTGCGACTCCTATACCTTGCACCTCATGCCAGACCCTGAATTGTTCCCTGGTCTCACAGTGCTCCTCTCACTCCAAGACTTTTTCAAGGACCCCCTCCCTGACCTCTCATGGCATCTGGGTACCCAGTGGAGGCTGGTTCTATAGAGGGAAATAACTCCAGCACCATGATGTTACTGAATTTGTAGGACAGTTTGTCCCTGGAATGTCTTGCAGATCCCACGAGGGAACTCAGATGAGACCTAGGGTGCTGTCACACCTGTGAGGTTCATTCGTGTTGTTGCCTGAAGCTGTGGTTTCACTGCTAGTATAGTCTTCACTGCTATTTACTATCGACAGTGTAAATACACCACTATTTATTTATCCAATTTGCTGTCAGTGGACATTTGGCTTATTTTCACTTTGTGGCCGTCACAAACTCTGCTGCTGTGATTGTCCTCAGCCTCCTTTGGCTCCCACGTGAACACATTTCGGTTGGTTCCTAGCAGTGGAATTGCGGTGCGCCCCCCCCACCATGGGGTATGTGTGTGTTCAGCTGCAGCTCATGCTGCCAGAGTTCTCTAAAGTATGTGACCAGTCTACGCGCCCAGGAGCTGTGTCTGAGAGTCTTTGTCGTTCAGCACCTCATCAGCTTCACGACTGCCAGTCTGGTGACTGCTCTGTGGTGACTTGTCGTCGTAATATACATTTCTCAGATAATAGTGAGGCCCAGCACTTCTCACATGTTAATAGGGCAGTAGAATTTCTTTATGTAAAATGTCCAGGAATTTTCCCCATTTTTCTAATCGAGCTGAATTTGATTATTTACATATAGAATTTTTTACATGAAATGTTCACAATTAACGTGTGGCAAGTATTTTGTCTCATTCTGTGCCTTATCTTTTTACACTTGCACTGTCTTTTAATGAATTGGTTTTGTTGTTTTCTATTTCACTACTGTTCAAATTCTTCGTGGACTATTACACATTTTTTTCTAGTCATTAGCCGATTAATACTTCAGTAAAATGCAAGAAAAATGAATTAATATAAAATAAAATAGATTCCAAATAGAAACACAATTTTTGTTAAATAGACATAAAATTCCCTTGTCATATTGTTGCAAAAAGTTTCTAAAAACTTTTTGGGTGGTTTTTACTTGCCTCGTCGCATACTTAATAACAAGTTACAGACAGGGACAAGTGCTGAAAGCACAATCTGAGCCATTTTCTAGAACTTTCCTCATCTTTCTTCTGTTGCTGTTGCTCTGTGCCAGGCAGGAGCTACTTGCCAATTTTGATCATTCACCTGCCCAAGAAAATCAGAGATAAGCCCTGAGCTTCCTGTCTGTCCAGCACGTCACCCTGAAGCAGGCCCATGCTCACCCTGCGTTGTTAATGTCCCAGTGAGGTGCTGAAGTTGTGCCATCTCGTGAGCCACACCCACAGCCAGATGGGTTGTTTGCTAACCCTAGTCCAGTGAGCACTAAATGCAGGTTTTGTGGGTCCAAATGATGTTTATGTTCCCACTGCCATGCAGTTGTTAAAGCTTTCAGCTGCTGGGCAGGAGTTCTGGTTTATACACTTGGGCTGGATATACAGATTGTTTAGTGACTGTGGATTTAACATTTAAGCTATCTGTGTCATTGTAAGAGAGAGAGAGAGAGTGTGTGTGTGTGTGTATGTGTGTGTGTATGTGTGTGTTACAAGAGTATCTTCAGATATTTCACTCCATTCAGCACATTAATTTTTTTGAATGCACATCAACATGTTTGATTAGGGAATTGCTTTAAATTGGAGAAAGGTCAACTTGGTGGGGGAGTGAGTCAAACACGGGTTTTGGAATTGGACCCATCTGGGTTTGGATAATCACTCTTCCTTGTACTGGCTGATCTGTGGATCCATTCATTCATTCCACATCCCATCATTTGGCAGGATCCTAGGTGCTGTGCGTACAAGCTGAGTAAACAGTATCTCAACCCTAAAGGAAACTCCAGTAAACTGGATGTCTCAAAGACACAGAAAAGCAGTAGGTGAAGAGATAGAGACTGGGAAATTGGAAAGTGAGGTGTCACAGAAGGTGGCATTTTAGAGGAAGTGTGTTTCCAGCTGGAGGAAGTGCTCAGTAAACACAGAGGCTGTAGAAAACAAGTAAATGAAAGCTAACATGTGTGCACCGCTTCACCGTGTGAAGGAGGTTCTGGCAGCCTTGTGTTTTCAGTGTATACGTGGGGGGTGGGGGATGCACACATATATATATATAATATATATATTTATATAAAAATATATATTTTAAAAATACATATATATATATATATATGTATTTTTTTTTTTTTGAGACAGAATCTCACTCTGTCACCCAGGCTGGAGTGCAGTGACTCCATCTCAGCTCGCTGCAACCTCTGCCTCCCGGGTTCAAGCAATTCTCCTGCCTCAGCCTTCTGAGTAGCTGGGATTACAGGTGCCTGCCACCACCCCCAGCTAATTTTTGTATTTTTTAGTGGAGACAGGGTTTCGTCATGTTGACCAGACTGGTGTTGAACTCCTGAGCTCAGGCAATCCACCCACCTCATCTCCCAAAGTGCTGGGATTACAGGCGTGAGCCACTGTGCCCAGCCCATAGTACCCATATTTTAAAAATAGATACTAATTATCACAGAGATACCTTAGAGATGAGGTTCCTGTGAGTACATCATTTAAACAGAACTTATAAAATAGTACGGGGGTCAGTAAATGTTCATTCTCTTTCACCTACATGCTGATCAACGAGAGCATTCAGGCTCTTTCACCTAAGGTATGTAAAGGGATTTGTGCCTGACACTGGCTGCTGGCCTCCTCGGGTATAATTAACTCTAGCCCCTGTTGCCATGAATAACTAAAGGCAGCCTGTGGTTTCAACTGTCTGCGACTTGAGTGAGAAGTTAGTCTCTGCCAGCAGGCTTCTCCGATCCTGGAGCCCGGCGCTGGTCTTTCCAGAAAGGCATGGCCAGTGCGGCTTTCGGTCTTGATAGAGACCCAAGCAGCTGGTAGCTTTCTAGTGTGTGGCACGCGTACCTGGTGGGTAGCAAGAGGTGAGGGAGTGGATGGTGTAGAGGGTCCCTCAGCCACATGCCACCCAGGCTGTGTTCACAAGCAACGCTCCAGCCTTAAGTGGTGGTGATGCAGTCTCTCACTTAACCAAAGGGACTTTTATCTTGACCATTAAATGGGCTAAGACTTACCTGCCATTTTCTCCTGCTGCTTGTTGGTACTTCTCTAGGTCTGGCCCCTAGAGTTCAGGTCTGGTTCGGGCCATTTAGTCTTCCATCCTCCTGTCCAAATCCACACATCCACTTCTTGGTTTTCAGCAAACTGTTTCCCGGTTTGGCAACAGGAAATGTCTGTCATGCCCTCTCTAATGTACTCAGTATCCAACTAAAATTGGTTGTTGCCCTAATTACAGAAAAGTCCTGATGCGGCTGGACATGGTGGCTCCCACCTATAATCCTAGCACTTTGGGAGGCCGCGGTGGGCAGATCACCTGAAGTTGGGAGTTTGAGACCAGCCTGACCAACACGGAGAAACCCCATCTCTACTAAAAATACAAAATTAGCAGGGCGTGGTGGTGCATGCCTTCAAACTCAGTTGCTCAGGAGGCCGAGGCAAGAGAATCGTTTGAACCTGGGAGGTAGACGTTTCGGTGAGCCAAGATCGTGCCATTGCACTCCAGCCCAGGCAACAAGAGCAAAACTTCACTCAAAAAAAAACAAAGTCCTGATGCTTTGCTCCGTAAGCACGCATGCAGCAGACTGTGCGCTAGGTGCGTTTTCCTTCAGGCCCCTTATTATGCCAAGTCCCTATCTCTCTTCAAGGCCATGTTTTCTCCTTGGACAGTTGCATCCTACAACAGTCTCTGATCTCCCAGCACTCCAAATGGCCACCCCTGGCCACATGCTGTCAGTGTTGGTCTTTCTAAGAGGCCCTCATGGTCCTCCGGGCATGCTCACCC